AGCCAACCATGACCGAAGATATTTTAACAGATAATGGCATTATTGAAGCGGTGATGGATGAATTTTGTGAAGATGATGATTATGATGACGATGATGATGACGAGCCACTACTGCCTCCAATAACCTTGACTGAGGCCATTGGAGCATTGGAGAAGGTTATAAGATTCCAGAAAAGCCTTGATGTTGGAATTAGATTTAATGAATATGAGTTAGTAACGTTGCGAAAAAAGCTTAAAGAATGGAGATCTGAAAAAGAAAAAAATAAAAAGCAGTCTTCCCTTTTATCTTTTTTTGGAAGAACGAGCACCGCTTCCTAAATTTTACTTCAATTTTGTTTTTGGTTTTTTGTTTTAGGTAGAATATTGAAATAATTATAGAATCTAAATAAAGAATAGGCTTTTAAAAAAAAAAACTAATATTTTTTGGTTTTTTTTTTCTTTTTTTTTTTTTAAAAACAAAAAACTCTGAACATGATTCTCACGATTATCTAAGTCAGATCGTAAAAGAAGATCACATTCTTTTTGCATATAACAGTTGAGCCTTGAATTGCCGTAGCTCGACTGAAAGAAGAGATTAATTGCATAAAAGAAAGACTTAAGTGCAAAGAAATTAAATTTTACTTATCTGAGATCGCAGCTTCACATAATAAAATCTTTATACGTTTTCACATAGTTCAAAAAGTCAGCGTTCTCAAATGACTTTTAAATGGGCAAATGACCAAATGACTTAACTAAGCAACGAATAATATCAATACTATTTCGGTTTTTTAAAAAAATTTTTTTTGACAAACGCTAATAATTAAGAGTAAAATTGAGAAACTAACCATTTTAATTAAGCAATTATTACTTGATTTTTGATTAGTTCAAGCGCAAGTGCTTGATTTCGTTTGCCAATAATTTTAATATGATTTTAGCGAGGGTAGTTTTATATAGGCATTATATGAGTAGTTAACAAAAAATTGTAATAGTGACTATAGAGCAATTGTGCTTATATAAAGGTAAAAATAATATAAAAAGAGTTGGTAAAAAAATAAATGTGATTATATTGATTTTGTAACTATAGAGGAGGTGACTATAGAGGGGGATGACTGTATTTACATACAATTGCCTTTGCAATTTACCAGATTAATTACATTTTGTTTCTAATTTTTACTCATCTACTAGGCTTGCAAATTGTAAATTTAATATCTGGGCTACTATATAGATCTAGTATAGTATTCCTACTAACTTTATTTTAACTATTCAAATCTAGGTGAGTCTTAACCACTCTAGTAGGTTTAGATTATAGATAAATAATTAGTCTAAGCTCTTATTTTTGCATGTAGTTTATATTTATTTATTTATATATAGATTAAGTTTTCATTTAGTTTCTATATATCTACTTATATAAATTACTCAATAAAGATATAAGCAAGGCCTCACCTTTTAAAACTAAAAAAAAAAAAAAAACTAATATGATATTCTTTGTTTCATCACTTTTAAGCCTATTAATATTGTAGTAACTGATTTTTAAATCTAGATTGTCTTTTAATTTTGGCAGGCTTTTAATTCTACTACTTATATTTGTAAAGATACTTATTGCATCTTTTCAGAATAAGTTTGGTCTAGTTAGCAAAATTGTCATAGTCTTTTTTGATTTTGGATAGCTTTTCTAAAATTTCAAATAAAGTATCTTGTTGTATAAAATTGTTTGCATATGGCTTAGCTTTATCTTTGCCTTTTTTTTTTACTTTGTAAATATTATAACTTGCTGTTTGAGTAAATACACTTGAGTTATCTACATTATGGTTCTGTAGGCTTATACTGTTTGTGTTACTGTTTCCTGTCTTGTTGTAAATCTTTTTACTAAGACTCTTATCTTGTATTTGTAGTCACTTTATTACTACATATTGCTTTAGAAGTGTTCTCTTTATTATTGTTAAGATAGTTGCTAAGATTTCTAGTAAAATATATAGGTCTTAATTTTTTGAATGTACTTTTGTTTTTGTAATTTTCAGAATTATTGAGAAGTCTTTTGCCTTTGTTGTTAATACTATTTGCATCTTTAAGCTAAAGTTAAGTTGTTGTAAAAATTTTTTTTAAATATATGCTTGACATTATTTGCCATTTAAGTTTAGTATCAAAGTAGTACATATTAGTTTTTTTGGGCTTGGATAAGGTCTTTTTCAGATTTGAAGTAAAAATTTGCTCTTTTACTTTGATTACCATTTCGGTTGCGAAGAGTATGTATAGCTTGTATAT